ATATATATATGTATATATGTATATATGTATATGTATATATATACATATACATATATGTATATATGTATATGTATATATACATATATGTCAACCAGAAAAAATATTGACCAATTTATAACATGTTTATCCTTTGAGTCTTCAAGAGACTATGTACTATTAGAGCCATTGAGAGTAGATATCAATACAACATGTCAACCTTTCTTGAGCCTTGCAATTTTTAGACTCTAGTTGACAAACTAATTTGACAATACAACTTGTTTTCTGCAGTACGGACAGCTTCAACTTTATCACCAACTATGAATTGTACCATAAGTCAATTTGCATTCACTAAGTGTAGAGATAATTATGTTGTTTCTTCTGACGATGAGACCTTCACTAAGAGGTAACATGATGCTGAGACATCACTTAGCAAGTGTTCTTCAGATTCTGCCACCAGAAGCAATCCAGCAACTCCCAAGTGTGCTAATGTAAAACAGATTCTGACTATAATATTTACAAGTATTAGAACCTGCACACATGTAACACACATCAAATAAACCATTGTTCTTTCAATAATTTGTTATCATAAAAACCCAAGAAAAACATGTCATGAATAAATCTTGTTCTAACAGTCGTCGTTGATATTGTTGTTGTTATTGTTATGATTTTTTATAGTTAAGGTATAATGTAATGTTGGTTTTTTTAGGAAATTTTAGTTGTTGTTTTTTTATTGAGATGGAATGTTCGTTTTTGTTGGTTGTGTACTATTTTCATTTTATTTTCAGAAGTTGTATTTTATTATATATCGTAGCTAGATGAAGGTTAATATATTAGGTAAAGAATATGAGAATTGAGTGATTCAATTTCTTGAATTTGCAGAAAAAACCTTCCTAACGATAATGGGCTTTTTTGGCGTCCTTGTAAAAAAATGTCAAAACACGCAAGAACGTCCAAGGGATGTTATATTCAATCATTTAGGTTGTGATGAAATTATTCAAATTATATGAAATGGGTGTGGCGTAGCGGCAAAAAAAAAAAGACATGTGTCACATAGAATTGAAGTTGATGAATTTATGAATGATACTCTAGAAGATATGATGCATGATATTGGAGTAGATGCTTTTAAGAAAGATCATGTGCAAGATACTTTGAAAACAGACATGGAAGAGTCGTTATATCTGAGATGCAAAACATTTACAAGATTTTCAGATGTGTCAAGACTATTTAATCTTAAGGCATGCGGTGGTGTACAAATAAAAGTTTCATTGAATTGCTTTGATTGTTGCAAGAAATGCTTTCAAAAGGTAATATATTGCCGAACCGTAGTTATGAGACCAAGAAGATATTGTGTCCAATGAGTTTGGACTATGCCTAAATACATGCATATTATAATGATTGCATATTATATAGGAAAAAGTATGAAAACTTGAAAGAGTTCCCTAGGTGTGGGAAGTCACTCTACAAGAAGAATGACAATAGTGCTAAAGATGATGACTGTGAAACTAAAAAGGGTGTTCCTTCCAATGTGATGTGGTATCCACCAATAATTCAAAGGTTAAAGAGATTGTTTGCTAATATAAATGATACAGAGAATATTATATGACATGCAAATGAAAGAGTATGTGATGAAAAAATTCACCATGTGTTTGATGTCCATGTCACTTATTTAACTGTCACTTAGGACTCTTAATTGAAACATCGATATTTTTATTTAATGAATTGACATTTTGTGTCCATTGTTGTAAACTTTTTTTTTTTAACTTAAAGGACTATTTTGAAAAAACAACTAAAAGGACCAAAAATGTTCAAAGGTCAAACTTAAAAGACTAGTGGATGCGTTTGGCCTATTATCGGTCATATGTGTTAATTGAATTGGCGTGTGTGCTTTATTATATATTTACTTACTATAAATGTGGATTTGATGAAAATATTATCCCTAATGAAAAGAGTGAGAAGTTGTAACGACACATTTGTGCTCATAAGCCATTTGATTTAATAATTTTGTAGAAATGTAGTAAACAAGAACAATGAGTTAGAACAATAAAACTTGGATTATATTAAGGATGCAAGTGAAATCACAAAAGTAACCAATGGAACGCAAGTGTTTTTGGCTCGAAAATGATGTGTTTTTCTCATCACTTATGTGTCATTTGTATAACATTTTTAGCCATAATTATAATTAATTACAAAGAACCAATAAAATCCACTAAAATAAATTTCAACCATTTTGAGAATGCACAAAGATTACGATCGTAATGGCCATTAGGGCCAAACTATAATACTAGGTGGAATTTCTTCAAATCTTCATTTTTACTCGTATAATAGTTACAATTGTAATGATCATTATGGCTATGTCGTAGTCCATGCAGGAAAAATCATTATGTCATTTTATTACTTAATATATATCATAACTTCAATAATTCACCACGGGACCTTAATTCTTTGTTGGTTTGCTTTAAAATCTTCCCTTACTCACACATTTCTCCTAACAAACACAAATCAAGTAAAAGGTATTAGAATTACAGAAAAGGACAATGAAAGATCTTCTTATTATTCATCTAAAAGCTTAATTACAAAAAAGAACGGAAAAAAGGCTAGTATATTTATACACATAAAGTAACGATAAAGTCTAAAAATAAGGAAAGGGTAAACGACTAAGTTGAATCCTAATAAACTATATAAAAGTTACAAGGAGTCTTTTATATAAATAAGTTGTCCTATAAGTCTTTGATATTGCATTGTGTCTGGATGCGATTGAGTAGTATAGGAGTGCAGTTGAAGATAAGAGTTATAAGGAGTAGAAGAAGGTTTGGAAGCAAACATACCTGTATTGTTGAGTAATTCTAGAGTATAATGGCGTTGGTTTATGAAAATACCGGAATTAGAGCGAGTTACTTCAAGTCCAAGGAAGTACCGAAGATGGCCCATGTCTGAAAGCAGTTTGGGCGTTACAGTAAGAGGAACTAAAGTGGCCTACTCTAAAGCACCATTAACATGGATATAGGTTTACACAATGTTGGTGACACTTACCAATACTTGTTGGAAACCTCTAATGATCAAAACTTAGATGTCTTGAAAGAATCCTTGTGCAACCTAGGAACATAATGGATTGACTCAAACAAAAGCTCAGAAACAACGATATGAAAAATGGATATTTACCCTGATTCCATGATTTGGTACTAGTTTATCAAGCACTCATTTCGACTTATTTCCCATAACAATTATTGTAAATAAATCCAGATTGGTGCTTCTTCACTACATTACTTCTTTTAATGCAGTGAATGTTGCCAAAAAAATTCTACAAGAGATTCAAGCCTACTCAAACAAGAAGGAGGAAATGATCTATTTTCCTTGCTTGATTATAACTCTGTGTAAAATACAAGGAGTCCCTGAGCCCCCAACTGATGAAACTTGCCACCCTCGGGCAGGATTTGCCAGAGCTGCAATTTAGAAACTTGCCCCCAACTGATGAAACTTGCCACCCTCATGCACCTTTGATTTTGCTTCAGCCGCATGTAATGGCACAAATGCTAATGAGCCTTACAGTTGGATTTTGTTACTATTTAAGGAGAAACTCTCTATTTAAAGACTCGAACCTTAAGAAAAATAAGCCAGAGATATTTTAGTTGTATTAAGTCTTTTGTTTTGATTTTAGTCTTGTGAGGAATAAAGTTTGTTTTGAGTTGTAATTAGTTTTATCATTCATAAAATATTGTAACTATCCAAACACTTGGGAGGGTGCTTGCGAAAAAGTGAGAGGGGTCTACACTTGGGAGAGTGCTTGCAAAAAAGTGAGAGGGGTCTTTCAATGAGAGTTCTGAATAAGATTTCACAGGCAGTACTAAGAAAAGAGACTTTGAACTAGAAGAGTTCAACTAAAATCAATTTGTATTTTTACTATTAAGAGTGATTTTTCTTTCTAGAGTTAACGTCCTCCCGATATAAGTGAGTTGCACCGAATTGAATTAACAATTCCTTTTATGCTTTTACTTATTTTTGCATTTTTCTTACTACTACGTTAATCGTGTCATACACATTGTCACATATTATGTCTGATGTCTTTCTATTAAACGAACAAAATTTCAATTTTGAAGTCTTGTAAACATTTTGATGTTAAGAAATATCCATTTGATAAACCTTTAACGTGTGTTGTGACACTTCTCTCATTAAATGTGTGTATTATGTGCATTTTGTATTGTTTGATGTCAAAGTCTTCTGTCTTCTGAGCTGACTCGCAAATTCTTAGGTGCCATCCATTTCCTTTCACTCTTCTATCCATCATAGACTTGAATCTTTTTCATAGTAGTGGACACAAATGTAAAATAACATTTTAAGTGTATAGTTCTAAAGTTCTTTTTAAAAATTCAAAAAACCCTTTATAATATTAAGACTTTTGAGCGAGTTTGTTATAATTTCAATTTCCAAGTTAGAATAATTAATAAAACTAACACACAACTATAAAGTTCTGGTTTCAAACCATACTGGTAATCAACTTCTATTTCCAATTAACTTATAATGTTGAAAATTGCTTCAGTAATCAAAAGAAGAAACAAAAGATATACACCACTCTCATATGAATTCACCTATCCCTTGTCGCACGCAGCGCCGTCCCAAAAGATTTGGAGGCCATGTTCTACTCTTCAAAATTAAATCATAAAAAAAATTTAAAATAATTTTCAATTTTTTTTCTAAAACATGCCAACGAGTTCGAGAACTATTGAACAATAGATTAACTGAATTTCCTAGCTCTTGAATTTTACCAATTCAAAGATATCTCCACAATGTACCAAAACAGTAGCATCAAACATACAGATACAAAATATACTTTCATTCATTTCCTTAGAAGAATGTTGCAATAGTACATAACATTTCATTTACAAAACAAATGTAACTGATATACAATTATACATTGGTCCTAATCTAGTGACATCCAAATGCTATATATGAAACAGATAAGACTTTGCCGAATAAAAACAAACTTGATTCCTAAATTAAAAGGAACCAAAAACATTCTAATTAATCTACACCAGCTTATAGTAACAGTTGTTTGCAGATATTAAAACCTCATAGCCCTTGCTACATGGACACTTGAAAGTGAGGCTTAAACATTTTTCAGCCCACTCTACTCTCACAGATTCTTCAACATCTTCCCCCAATTCATCCTACAAAACAGAAAACAAATTTATCATAAAACAGTACTTAATCTCTCAGGCATATGCATAGTTTTAACTCGCAAACACATCGCAACCGCACAATTGCAACTATATTAGTCAATATATCATGAACCAAACTCCATATATGAAGATAACAGCAATTTAACTTCGAAAAGTGTTCACAAAATGCGGCAACATAAGCATCAATCACATGCGATAGTTCTAAATTGTGTTCTGAAATTGCGACAGCAAGCACAATTTAAAGTCTGATTAATGACCTGAATATATACCTGACATAGGACTTTGTCTTCTTCAACCACAGGAGATTGCTCTTTTTCTACTTCTTCCTGTTGTTGTTGTTGTTCTTCTACTTGTTCATCCTCTTCTTTCATGACTTCATCCCACCATTGTTTCATTTCTTTCAAACGATCCTTCATCCTTTTAAGCCTCTGCAATCAATCACAAAACAGAGAAAACCCATGATTCCAAATCCAAAAAAATTGAATTTTTCCAACATAGAAAGAAAACCCTAAAATCCAAAAAAGATTAAACCTACCATTGAATCAGCAGGTGTCGGTTCTTCAGAACTCAAAGAACGAGAAATCGTTTTAGCATCAGCAGACAGACATCTCTTTAAGTTCGGATGCAGAGGCGGCAACCCAGCCCCTTTCACCATCGGAGCCGCAGACTGCTCCGGCGTAGATACGCAGCGGCGGAGAACATTGCCGCGGAGACTGAAAGGAAGTGTAATGGCAGAGAAGCCATTACGAGTGAAATCTTCAAAAGAGTGCTTCTTGGCGCTTCGTTCGGCGGTTGAAGACGACGGAGGTGAGCGGCGTTTGGTGGAGTTTTTGTGATGGTGATGGTGGGTTGAGGTGGAAGAGGTGTTGAGACGCAGCATTGAGAAAAGATCGTTGTTTTCTTGTTGGTTGTGAGAATTTGGGATCGAAATGTGTTGTTCTTGATTCTGAATATGATGATGAAGATCACCCATTTTTCTGAATTCTGGATTTTTCGTTTTCGCTGTGTCAAGTTTTGATTTTTTTGTTTCTTTTCAAAGAGGATTGAAAAGGGAAAAGGGAAATTTAGGGTTTAAATAAGGGGGGTTTTGATGCGATGGTTTGCCGGGGTTTTGATTTTCAAATTCTAAGTGTTTGTTTGATAAGATAAAAAAGAGCTTTTAGGTTTTTAGATCATTTTAATTAAAATTTTCTGAAAACAGCTTTTTAATTTTTAGTTTATAGTTTTTTAATTAACTTTTAATTTATTTTATAAAAGCTATTTGAAGTAGCTTTTGAGTTTATGATTTTTTTTCAATTATATTTTTATATAATATTTATTATTAAAAAATTGATTTTAAAAGATTGAATTTAGGGAGATTTTGAAGAATATTATAAAAGATTTTTATTATTTTTCTCCACTTTATTAAACATTATTTTTATTTATTAAATATAAATTATATAATTAATTTAGAAATAGTGTTTATAATTTTCAAGTTAGGAGAATCAACGAAATCAATAAAGGTGAAGAAAATTCATAATATTATTACAGATTTATTTTAAAATATTAGACAATAAAATTATTTTTATTATTATTTTAGATTAATATAAATAAATTCAAAATTACAATTTTATTATTTCACGTATTTTATTAAATTTCATTATAAAATTAAAAAAAAAACTATATTTTACGAAATAATGAGTTAACTTGACAAAAAATTGTAGTTATTAGAATTATTTTTACTTTTATGTCCTCATAAATGACTTTATGAAATACCCATGCTTCATGTATGATTTACTAATTCTTTTATTCATTGAATTTCGTTGTCAATATATTCATACTAAATAGTAAAGCTCATAAAACTTATATACAAATTTATATATTTTGATGATATCTTCAAATTTTCATATATATTAAAATTTTTATGCATGTTGTTATTAGTGCATTTACTTTTATCGATAAAATTTAATTTAATTTGATAATATAATAAGATAAGAAAATCACAAATTTCTTAATTAAAAATGTCCTTTTAGATCATTTTATAATTTTTTGCTACTGTAACTGCTAATTTATCAAACACTCAAATTAACTTATCAGCTATCAATTATCAACTATAAGTTATAAGTTATCAACTATCAGCCACCAACTATTAGCTAAAAGCTATAAGCTAATTTTACCAAACTGAGCCTAACTGTTTTTGGTTGGTTAGTTGGAAGAGCTAAATTTTTGGTTTAGTTTGTAGGATTTATTTCAAATTCTATTTTTTTTATATAAATGTTTTGTTCATAATAATATTAAAATTTTGAATATTTAAATGCATATTTTTAAAAACTTATATATTTTTAAATAATATTAAATATCAAAGAAGAATTATATATTTTTTAAATTTATTAGTTTAGAATCTAAAATTTAAAAGGTTTTTATAATTTAAACTTCTAAATTCTATAATTTAAATAAATTATTTAAAAATTACATGTTTAAATTTTAGAATCAATTTTTTTTTTTAAAGTTACAGAGTTTGAACGACTTACAAAAACGCGCTTGTGTTCGGGATAGAAAACAATTTTGCTTAGATTTTGTTTTAAAATTTAGAAGGAAATGATGGTGAGAGTTTTGGGAGGAGATGAGTAGAAAAGAAAATAAAATAATTTTAAATTTTTGTAAATAGACTTTTTGTATAAAATAATGAATATTTATTATTGATATATTTTTAATATTTAAATATTATAATGATATATTTATATTATATAACATAGGGCAGTCGAGTCGACGATGACTTGGACCAAACAAACATAATCAACTCTTTACAATTATCATGTAAAGTCCAGGTGCTGAGAAATTTGAATTGAGAAGCCACTCTAACAAGATTTATGTGGGATTCAAGCAGTAGAGGGTAATGGTTAGAGCAAACCTTAGGCAATGTAGAAGCTGCTAAACAACTGCAAATATCAACCCACAGAGGATTGCCAATGCATCTATCGAGTCTTCTTTCTATAAAGTAGGGAGGATCCCGCTTATTTGACCAAGTGTACTTAGCCCCAGAAGTGGGAAAATGAATGAGATGGTTGCAATCCGGCCAACTTTAAAAATCAACCATAGACATCTTCGTCGGACTGTTGTTGCCCCGGTGCTCATACGATCCCATAATAGCATTAAAATCCCAAAAAAAAAGCCCAAGGCATGGGGTTATTAGACTGCAGATCATTTAGTTCCTTCTAGAGCTCTCATATTTTAATCAAGTTAGTCGAGGCATAGACAACCGCTATAGCCAACAAACAATTATCCAAACAAATCGTAAAACTTACAAACTGATCAGACACAGAGATGAGGTTAGGAGAATAAATATCGTTGCACATACACCACAAAGAAGAAAGATACGCGCAACTATTAGCAAAAAGCTTAAAACCAAGCATAGAGAACCAATTAAGAGGAAGGTTGGCAAACTCCGTTTTGGGTTCCATAATAAAAAGAAAATTTGGTTTGTGTAAAGTGATGCGTCTCTTCAAGGCAAATCTAGTTTGTGTAAAGTGATGCGTCTCTTCAAGGCTAATCTGGAGGAAGCATTAGCCAAACCCCTTATGTTCCAAAAAACACACTTCATGATGACAAATTTTTTGGTCCTGCTTGAGACCTTGATGAGTGTTTTTTTCTTAATTCTAGTAGAATATTTCTTTTTGTTTAGCATGGAGACAACATTAGAGAAAATTCCTTCAATACGTTTAGGTTCCTCTGCGAGGTTTGCCCAAGAATTTTGAAGAAAAGTAGAACCTTCATTAAAATTAACAACAAGGTTCTGAGTAGCATCCACAAAATCGGAGAGTTGAGAATCAATTACAAGTAGGGTGAGAAATGAAATTAAGAGAGTTATTAGGGACTAATATAGGAACAACAACATCTAAGCCAACATCCAAATCAGTTTCAGCCCGAATATGAATTCCCTTGCCCCCATCAGAAATACTGCGACCATCAACATCAACCCCATCAGATTGATTTGCAGCAACCACATCAATCTTATCGACAACAAGGTTATCCTTAGCATCACCTTTGTCCACGGAAACATGAGCAGTAGCTGCCTCATAAATCTTCGACGATTGTTTTTGAATTGGCGGACCATGGACAAGTGCAAACGACCTGAACAATTTGCAAGAATGCACCATATGTCCCGTTTTTTTGCAATAAGTGCAGAACTCAGGAATATTTTCATATTCGATATCAGAGAAAAACGCGAAACCTTTTCTTTCCACCAACACATTATGGTGTAAAGGCAGAGTTAAATCCATGTCTATTAAAACACGAACAAAGTGCCCCAAAAGTTCTGTCCACCCTGGATTTGGAAGTTGCAACATCCATACAAATCAATGTACCAACACAACTGGCAATAACAAATAGAAAATGAGGTCGCCAATACTACTGAGAAAGCAAAAAAAAAAAAAAGAGCCCAAACTTGAGTTGAAGTGTGTTTTTTGTTGTTTGATTGAAATCTCTGGTCCAAGCGAAAAGCTTCAGCGAACCCGGGTTAAATTGGTAGAGCCTGAAGTTCTAACTCTGCGCCCATCTTCAGTGCAAGAAAACGTAAATTCTCAGTATCCTTTACCCAACAATTGGACACCTCAATTCTTCACATTTGGCCATATGCGACATAGCTTCTCCCTGAGCGGTAAGGAACCCTTAGGCCACAACACACGCCCATGAAGATTGTATTTACATTCAACTAACTTAGGGATGACAATTTGCCCCATCCCCAGTGGGTACCCATAAAATTTTCCACAACGGATAGGGTAAAAACTCGCAAAAATGGTACGGACACAGACTCGACTAATTAACCACTAATTAACCACTTAAATAAGCGAGGATGAGTGTGAGTATGAGCACCTTAGTACCCATCCCGTCCTATACCGCACAATATATATTTATATATTTTAATTTATATTATTATATAAAAATAAATGTTTATAAAATATTTAAAAATACTTCAATTTTAAACAACTACATATTTAATATAAGTGATAATTTATTTTATAGTTCAACCATAATTTTTTAAAAAAACTTAAAATAATATGATGTTTTATACTTAATAATATTTATTCTTATAAAAAATGAGGATAACGGATAGAGTAAAGGCACGTACCTATCCCTAGAGTACATATACGAGTGTCAATGTTAATACCCAAACGGATGCGGGTTCAGGTACGAATTTTTTTTTCTCTAATTGCGGATATAAAGACATAAATAATTATACTTTACCCAAACTTTATCCATTGTCATCCCTAATCTAACCCTCCTCCAAAATGGTAACAAAGGGCAATCCCCTTTGATAACAAGTTGAGGTAGTTGCTAAGGGGGATGTCGCAAACCACTTAGCTTGAGCAAAAGACTTCACAGGCTGAAGTTTCCGTATTTCCATAAAAGATGGAGCTTGGAAGTCATTAACCTTGAGAGCTTCTTTGGTTTCTGAAAACAACACATCTGAATCCACTGGTGTAAGATGAACAACATGACAGTAAAGGAGATTAGGGTTAAGTTTCTCCGCCGCCGCTCATGCTTATCCGCTTAGTCTCAACTGTCCACCGTCACGAAACCTTTCTGTACTAATTCCAGCTATCAATGCATGATTCCTGATAGAGTTAGTTGATTATATATATGACATCCATAACTCCAAGACCATTGAGTGGAGAGTATTGTCTACACTTTTCGAGAGAAAAAAACATTCTATTTTGTTGGGTTTACCGTTAAAGCTAGAGAATAGGTCTTAATAAGCTAGTTTTTAGGAGTTGATTTATTCCAGTTTGTTATATTCTGTTTTCCTTATTTTTCTCTATTTCAGTTACACTTAAATTGTAAGGCTTTATAAAAGCTATAACAGTCTTTTGAATAAAGTATCAAGTATTCTAGCTTACGTTTCTGTTCTATTTCCTTTATCTGGCATCAGAGCTCGAAAGGGCCTGATAATAGTAATATACAAATTGAGTGTTTGAGAGGAAAAACACTGAGAGGAAGTAGGGAAAGTCTCCAATAGTGTTTGAGAGGAAAAACACAGAAGAAAGGAAAAATGGCAGCAGAAAGTTTCTCAACACCATGCGTTCCGAAGTTCGATGGTGACTATGATCACTGGAGCTTACTCATGGAAAATCTCCTCCGCTCCAAGGAGTACTGGAGCGTCATTGAACCAGGGCTCGAAGAGTTGAAGGGGACCGAAGGCATAAGCGCGAAGGCACTCGACGAAGCAAAACTCAAAGATCTCAAAGCAAAGAACTATCTTTTTCAGTCCATAGACAAGAGAATCTTGAAAACCATCACCCAGAAGGAAACAACCAAACAGTTGTGGGATTCAATGAAAGTCAAGTATCAGGGAGGTGCTAGAGTGAAGCGTGCACAGCTACAACGGCTTCGCAGGACATTTGAAACCCTAGAAATGAAATTGGGAGAAGGTGTTTCTGAGTACTTCGCAAGATTCGTGTCTACTGCCAATGAAATGAGGAACTATGGAGAAAACATGAACGATGTTAAAATTGTTGAAAAAATACTTCGAAGTCTTACGGACAACTTCAACTTTGTGGTATGCTCCATCAAAGAGTCCAAGGACATTGATGATATGACAGTAGATGAATTGCAAGCATCCCTGCTTGTACATGAACAAAAGGTGATTGAGAAAAGAAGTGAAGAACAAGTTCTACAGGTGGAGAACGAGCAAAGGAATGTACAAGGAAGAGGCAGAGGCATATATCAGAGAGGAAATGGCAACTCCAGAAGCGGTAACTTCAGAGGCGGCAACTTTAGAGGACGAGGAAGAGGTAGATCTTTCGTCAACAAGTCAGCCATTAATTGCTTTCGATGTGGAAAGCAAGGACATTATCAATTTGAATGCTCAAGTCTGGAAAAAGGAGTCAATTATACCGAGTTCGACGAGGAAGAAGAACTCCTCTTAATGGCACACACAGAAGTTAGTAAAGCTGAACGAAAAGGTATTTGGTTTCTCGACTCTGGGTGTTCAAACCATATGACAGGAGACAAAACTTGGTTTGTTGAGTTCGACGAAAGCTTCAAGCATTCTGTCAGATTGGGTAACAACTCAAGGATGGCGGTTCAAGGAAAAGGCAGCGTCAGGTTTGAAGTACAAGGAATCACACAAACGGTGTCTGACGTCTATTATGTTCCAAATCTCAGCAACAACCTATTAAGCATAGGACAGCTACAGGAGAAACGCTTAGTGATCATAATTAAAGAGGGTACTTGCAGAATCTATCATCATGAAAGAGGTTTGATAGTAGACACTCCAATGACTATGAATCGTATGTTCGTGGTCTATGCAAAGATGAAACCACTGCCCAGTAGTTGTTTGAAGATGGAGGAAGAAGACTTGGAGAATCTCTGGCACAAGAGATATGGGCATTTAAATAATAAGTCCATCCAAATAATGCAGCAAAAACAAATGGTAAAAGGGTTACCAGAGTTGAAAGAAGCAGTCAAGATTTGCAAGGTATGCAATGTGGGAAAGCAGCAGCGGGGGAAATTTCCGAAGAAAAGTGGCTGGAGGGCATCAGAGAAATTGGAGTTAATTCATGGAGATCTGTGTGGACCAATCACTCCAACCTCTCACAGTGGTAAGAGGTATTTGTTAGTGTTTGTAGACGATTTCTCTCGGAAAACTTGGATCTATTTTCTTGCAGAGAAAGCAGAATCCTTTGAGGCATTTAAAATCTTCAAAAGTTTTGTTGAAAAGGAAGCAAGGAATTCCATATGCGGACTAAGAACTGACAGGGGGGGAGAATTTACGTCAAATAAATTCAACCAGTTCTGCAAGGATCATGGCATAAGGCGACAATTGACAGCGGCATACACTCCACAGCAAAACGGAGTGGCAGAAAGAAGGAATCGAACCATCATGAACATGGTGCGCTGTTTGTTATCTAAGAAGGAGATGCCGAGATCCTTATGGCCATATGCAGCGAGATGGACGGCTCACGTCTTGAATCGAAGCTTTACAAAGGCGGTAAAAGATATGGTACCTGAAGAAAGGTGGACAGGAATAAAACCAAAGGTGGACTACTTCAGAGCATTTGGCTCCATTGCACATGTACATGTCCCTGAACAGAAAAGAGTCAAACTTGACGATCGAAGTCACAAATGCATCTTGCTTGGGGTCAGTGAGGAATCTAAAGCTTACCGGCTGTATGATCCGGTAACAAAAAGGATAATTATAAGTAGGGATGTCATATTCGAAGAAGGCGGTAAATGGGATTGGAACTTGAACACAACAGACGTAAAGCAGAATGTTCTTGCATGGGGAGAAGATGAAGTTATGACAGAAGAACCTGAAGCAGAAGATACTGATGAGGATGTTGAAGAAATTGAATACGACAGTGCAACGAAGTTTCCAGAAACTGAAGAGTCAGCACCTGAAGAACGAACAAGAAGAGAGAGAAGGAAGCCTAGTTGGATGAGTAATTATGAAAGCGGTGAAGGCTTATCTGAAGAAGAGGTACCAGAACAAAACTTAGCCTTGTATATCTCTCATGATGATCCAGTAAGTTTTGATGAAGCTGCGAAGGAAGAAAAATGGCAGGAGGCCATGAAGCTTGAAATTCAAGCTATAGAGAGAAACCAGACTTGGGAGCTTGTGTCACTGCCACATCAAGCAAAAAAAATTGGTGTTAAATGGGTATACAAAACAAAATTGAATGAAGAAGGTAAGGTGGACAAATGTAAAGCTAGACTTGTTGCCAAAGGGTATTCGCAAACAGCAGGAGTAGACTAAAATGAAGTGTATGCACCGGTAGCTCGTTGGGATACCATCAGAATTCTCCTGGCAACAGCAGCTCAGCGTGGTTGGTGTGTCTACCAACTTGACGTTAAAAGTGCTTTTTTGTACGGAGAATTAAAGGAGGAGGTATACATCGATCAACCGGAAGGGTTTATCAAAAAGGGAGAGGAAGATAAGGTGTATCGGCTAAAGAAGGCGCTCTATGGCTTAAAGCAAGCCCCAAGAGCTTGGTTCAGCAGAATCGAGAGTCACTTTAAGAAGGAAGGGTTTCAGAAAAGCAACTATGATCACACCTTGTTCTTGAAGAAAAATGGAAACAAGCTATTGGCGGTAAGTCTTTACGTTGACGATTTAATATATACTGGAAATGATGAGCAGACGTGCATAGAGTTCAAGTTGTCAATGCAGAAGGAGTTCGAGATGACAGACTTGGGCAAAATGAAGTTTTTTCTTGGAGTTGAAATCTATCAGCGTAAAGATGGAATTCACTTGTGCCAAAAGAAGTATGCTAAGGAAGTCTTGCAAAGGTTCCATATGTGGAGTTGTAATGCTGTCAAGAATCCAATTGTTCCTGGTACTGTTCTGTCAAAGGAAGACAACAACGGTGCTGATGCAATATTGTACAAACAACTAGTAGGGTGCTTAATGTATCTAACGGTAACGCGTTCGGATTTAATGTTTATGGTATGCTTAATCTCTCGCTATATGGCTGAACCTAAAGAAGAACACATGTGATTGCAAATAGGGTACTGAGGTACTTGAAAGGAACACTGGAACTGGGAATTTTTTACAAGAAAAACACAAATGCGAATCTGCTGGGATACACAGACAGCGACTACGCACGAGATGTGGACGATAGAAAAAGTACTTCGGGCTATGTATTTCTGCTAAATGGAGCAGCAATCTGTTGGAGTTCAAGAAAACAAGGGATAGTGACTCTCTCATCTACAGAGGCTGAGTATGTAGCTGCCACTGCCTGCGCATGTCATTGCGCCTGGCTGAAAGGAATTTTGAAAGAGTTAAGCTTCAAAAACTGTAATTGCATTCACATAATGTGTGATAACAGTTCGGCAATTAAACTATCCAAGAATCCAGTGATGCATCGAAGGATAAAACACATTGATGTTAGATATCATTATCTACGAAATTTATCAAGTGAAGGAGCTGTGAAGTTAGCATTTTGTGGAACTGATGATCAAGTGGCAGACATCATGACTAAACCTATTAAGTTGGATCAGTTTGTGAAACTTAGAGGTTTGCTTGGTGTTCAACGACCTGAGGAGTAAACTGATGCTCGTTAAGCATGTGTCAGTTTAAGGGGAGAAATTTGTTGTGTTTACTGTTAAAGCTAGAGAATAGGTCTTAATAAGCTAGTTTTTAGGAGTTGATTTATTCCAGTTTGTTATATTCTGTTTTTCTTATTTTTCTCTATTTCAGTTACACTTAAATTGTAAGGCTTTATAAAAGCTATAACAGTTTTTTGAATAAAGTATCAAGTTACCTAGCTTACGTTTCTATTCTATTTCCTTTATATTATGCTTAAATCAACAACCATTCATTATAGCTGGTCACTATTGAATTGGAAGATAAGGAATGTCTTGGACACCCACCACCTTATTGCAAATATTAATGGCTTGTATTGTAACCGTAGAAATGAAAAACAAGTCAAATACAATTAAATTTATTTTCTTGAAAAATGAATAAAATTGATTGTGAATTAATTTTGCATATGTAATTCTTTGAGCAGTTCACAATCCACTTTTTTAATTTATAGAGAAAAGTAAACAAATTCTATTTTTAATTATTTGAAAATCATTTTTCCTTCACAAGAATGAATATGATTTTTCATTTTTAGTTCTATTTTTAACTTATAGAAAAAAAAAAACAAATTAACCAAAAAAATCCGTTCCCTTGTAACAAAAAAAGAATCTGTTTCCTTAAAAGCGTTAATAATTAAAAGACTGTTTCTTTTCTTTTTTTAACCTAATAAACCTTTGTATTTAGTCTATATTATAGATTAAATACATTTGTTATTACTGACTTATTTTTATATTTAAGACTGAGTATTTTTCATCTTCAATTATAATTTGAAACCATTTTAGATTCTTCATACACAAAGATTACAGCAAAAGCATAACACTGACTTCACCTAAACCAAAATCACTTTTTTTCATAATTTATTTTCAGCTTATTCTTCATTCAATTCAATTAAAAAAAAAGCCATGGTAATACGTAATACTTCTACTCCTATTTCTTCTTCTTCATCTTCTTCTTGTTGCTCTCGTTTCTGGTCCTCCGCGCTCCGATCCAAGCGCCTAGCCTCTCCGGCGGAGAAGGCAGCTCGCGATAGCTCCGGCCATGGTCTCTCCCGTCGACTAGGTGTATTCGACCTTATTCTCCTCGGGATCGGCGCTTCCATCGGAGCCGGTATCTTCGTCGTCACCGGCACGGTTGCTCATGACACCGGACCCGGTATGAGTTGAATTTTAATTGAACACGCGTTATGGATTATTTATTGTTATTATTATTATTATTATTATTACGTGAAATTGTGATTGAATATAAATATTTATGCAGATTGAAGTATTTATTATGTACATTGGATTATTTATTTTAATTATTTTATTTTGTTTTTAATTTTATATTATCTTCTAGTATGATACAAGCTTAGAGGTTAGAACGAGCTTTGGTCTTCAGTAAAATTGTAGAAACAGTTAGAATGCTTTTGATTTTAGTGTTTTGTATATGATATTGTTTTTTCTTCTGTAAGAGTGTATGCATTATTTGATCTGAAAGTGAACTCTATCTATGAAGCACACACACGACATCGACACTGACAACTGATAATAATTTGAAATAAATAAATAAATAAAATGTATTAACAAATGTTAGTGCAGGTGTCTGGCACCGGTACAGACACACATTTTTCGGAGGTGTTGGTGCTGCAGTGAACTCTACACTAGAAATCATAATTTTCCAAGATGTCAGTAGTTTCGAGTAGTTTCGAACATTGACATTAGTAGGGCCGGACATGTCTTTAATCTGAGTGTTGTTGCTGCATATGATATGAGACATTTGCTATTACAATTCTGAACTTTGTGGCTTATTCATGGTTTCCTTCTGTTGTAGGGGTAACAATAAGTTTTATACTTGCTGGAGCATCCTGTGTTATAAATGCACTCTGTTATGCTGAGCTAGCTTCTCGATTCCCTGCTGTTGTTGGAGGAGCGTATCTATACACCTATACGGCTTTTAACGAACTTACTGCTTTTCTTGTTTTTTCACAATTAATGCTTGACTATCATATTGGGGCAGCTAGCATAGCAAGAAGCTTAGCGAGTTATGTAATATCGTTTATTGAAATCTTTCCTGTTTTCAAAGATAACATTCCAAACTGGATTGGACATGGTGAAAACATTGGAAATGTGCTATCCATCAATGCTTTAGCTCCGGTTCTCTTAATGCTTCTCACTTTAATTCTCTGTCTTGGTGTTAAAGAATCATCAACTGTGAATTCGTTTATGACAGTAACCAAGGTTTGATTTCCATCTCACCTATTACCAAAGTATATATAACATTGAGCAATATGTTAATGCTGCGGTTCATGTGATGTGAGAACAGAATCATTAGTTATTTTACTGTCATCTCCAGGTAATCATTGTTATTGTTGTCATTATTGCTGGAGCTTTTGAGGTTGATGTTTCCAACTGGTCTCCTTTTGCTCCAAATGGTGTAAGAAGTATCTTGACTGGAGCTACTGTCGTCTTCTTTGCATACGTTGGATTTGACGCAGTTGCCAATTCAGCTGAAGAATCTAAGAAACCACAGGTTTGTTGTCTTGATATTTCTCCACTGGTTCATGAATTTTCCAGATGTTATGTCTGTAGTCTAATGTTTCTGTTTATGCTTTTCCCCCAATTATTTGATATAAGTAGTAGCTATTCGGATTTTAAATTTTAGTTATCAGTGTTACTTTTAAGTCATTTTGTAAATTGTAAATGTTTAGTACATCTGAACAGCCATCTAGTTCAAACTCATGCTGTCCATTGCGAGTTCTGTCCTCTTTCTATTTTCGCAAATTAGTTCATAATATCTTTTTTTCTTTTTAATTTTTGACATTTCAGCGGGATTTGCCAATCGGCATTATTGGAAGCCTCTTGGTATGTATTGCACTGTACATTGGAGTATGTTTAGTAATTACTGGAATGGTTCCATTCAATCTTCTAGGAGAAGACGCTCCTTTGGCTGAAGCTTTTAAATCTAAAGGACTAAAATTCGTTTCTATTCTGATTAGTATTGGTGCAATTGCTGGACTTACAACAGCACTCCTTGTTGGCCTCTATGTTCAGGTAAATAACATCTGAAAATTGATTGAAACCTAGTGGCATGTCTACTGTACATGCATGACATGACTTTTCTTTCTGATGAGCAGTCTCGGCTATATCTTGGGCTTGGCAGGGATGGTTTACTACCCGCAATATTTGCTAAAGTTCACCCCAGACGCCATACCCCTATTCATTCTCAGATTTGGGCTGGCTGTATTGCCAGTATTATGGCTGGGCTGCTTAATGTGCACACACTATCGCACATTCTTTCCGTTGGTACTCTGGTAAGACTCAATTTCTATTATCATGATAGCGTGGTTATCAACAAATGTATGTTCTATCTCATCTTACATAAGTAGTGTCAATATATGAATCCCAAATTCTTCAAAATTGCTTAAGTATGCATGTTCTATACCAATAAGTGTGTGCACACCTAGGTATCAATAGAAGGAGTAACGTCAATTTTTTATCTTTAAAATGAAATTATCAATTGGTATATATGGGTTGCAAGTTTTGATACATTTGGATTCCAGCTCCAAGAATGTTCTTGTGATGAACCATACTCAAAAGTTATACCTTTTTCAATAATGAGAATGTGTGAGATAAAAATAGACAATTGAATTGAGTTAGAAGTTCTTTTAAATAGGACTGATGTTTTTCGGGACATTGTGACATTAATATATTCACTTATTTATTTCAGACTGGCTATTCAGTTGTCTCGGCATGTGTTGTTGTACTTCGCTGGAAGGATAAGACAAATAGCCAAGTATCAACTTCAGCTAAGCGAGAAGGTGTATTTTGCCTCATTGTTGTTGCTCTTTCGGGATTTACCGCAGGACTCTTGTTCCGTTATGAAGTTTCAATTATCTTTGTGATTGTGGCTATAGTTGTTGCAGTTGGTGCTTCTCTTGCTCTTGTTTTCCGCCAGGTCAGTGTTATTTTTTTTTAATTTAATTAACTACCTATTGATTGAACTACAAATTTCAAAATGGCCATGTTAGAAATCAATTTAATTTACCACTGACCTTATTAATAATTAATGTCCTATTCGGTTCTTTGGCAAAGTATATAATACTGTAGTTAGTTTTAATTGAATCATGTCATTGGTAAAAGAGGGAAAAACGAATAAGTACATTAATATTTTGATTTGATTTAATATATGGAAGTTCAGAATACACGTCGCAACATGAAGAAAACAAGTGGTCTCTTTACGAGCAGGAGGGTACGGCATGGCTTCATAAGGAGAAGATTAAGTGCTGAGGTTATGTCATACTCAAGAATGAGAATTCAAATTTGTTAAATAGAGATTGATAACAAACACAATATGAATTTTATGTGTCAAACCATTGAAACAGAAAAGCACTCTCAGAGCCAACAGTTTTGCAATGCTTATCGACATAATAACTAAACTTTTTAGTAGCTCATGAGCGTTTGTTCATATTGAGTTTCGATGTTGATTTCTCTCATTAATTATATTCTATATTCATCATTTTGTTATCTAGGTTTATGGAGATTCAGTAGGGTTTTCTTGCCCAGGAGTTCCTATTGTGCCAAATATTTGCATCTTCTTTAACATGTTCTTATTTGGCCAGGTATGTCCATCATCTCTCCTTTTTGAAAACTTACCCAAAATAATATTATATATTTTAAGTTGATTATTTATGAACTTTTGTTTCCAGTTACATCATGAAGCATGGGTGAGATTTGTGATTCTAAGTTTTATCATGGTTGGTGTTTATGCAATATATGGCCAGTTTCATGGTGACCCCAATGCAGATGAGACTATAATTTATCACGAAGCTCCAGCGGAATAAGCTCGATGAGTAATGAATCAGTTCAAATATTAAACAATTTTTCCTAGAACAGGGGAGAGGAGGGTGTTTGTTAAAATCTATGGAGCAAATAATCTATCTGGGTATACTTAGTTTAGATTGTATATGAAACTGTCAGAAAACCTAATCTTTCCTATTAAGAGCTCCTCCTTTTCGCCCTAACATGTGTAATATGTGTCATGTATCTCTTGTTTACAACTTGATTAAAAGGAGAAATTCATCCAGCGCTATTTTCTTATGTGACTGTTAAGTTCATAGTTTTATCTTTTTTATGTGTTCAAGTATATGATTTTATTTGTGGTGTTTTTTTTTTACTAGTTTAATTTAGCATCATACTTTAACTAATGCATGTTTATATACAACATTTTAGTAAGTTCTTAAATATGAATCACATCAACATTTAACTAGGAAGTGGTAGGTGAAAGGAAAGTGAGAAATGACCTGTTTGGTAAGGCAAATAAGTTAGCTTATAGACGACAGCTTATAAGCTCTTATAGACGACAGCAAATAAGTGATCATCAAAAATTTGTTGTATGTTATGAGTGGATGCTTAATCATCACTAATATGTTGTGGTACACTTTGAGCATGATTAAACACAAGCTGCTAATGATCACTCGTCACAATGTAAAGGTTGTTGTGTGGGTCATATAATAGCTCAATAATTGATCCATTGATATTATTCTTGTGAACACAATAATAGAAGTATTAAGTGTGTGAGAGTTGTATTATATATGACTTTGCACCTTATTGGCTACCACCAATATCATCTAAACTTGGCATCTTATGCATGTAGTTTTCAATTTTGAATGAATTTGGTACATATTTCTTTTTGGATTTCTTTGAAAAAGTCAGGTGAAAATAAGTCATAGAGTATGCAACATTTCTAAGTTGCAACATATATGGCTTAAAACTTGAACAAAAAATAAAGATGGTGAACTTTAACTTGAGAAAGAAACAGAAGCAGTGAAAGCAATATCGATCGATATTTAGTTGTATGTGAAAATCAATAAATGGAAGTAATGCTACAACAAAACAACAGAATTTGAACTTAATCGGTTACGCCGAAGCATAGAATGAAAATCAAATATCCTACATCGAAGAAAGCTCAATGAAGCAAGAATTAATAAAACCTTTTGATGAAGTAATGGAATAGAACAATGTAGTTTACAAATCACCTAACATTGTTGTCTCCAAACATTTTTTGACCTTTTGATCTTTCAATTGATCCTGTTTTCTGCAGCCGAATCTGAGCTTTGAACTTGGCTATAAATTCACTAGCTTTCTTATCAACTTCAGAGTCCAATCCTGAATCATTGACATATTCGGACACCCTATCATCGTCCGAGCTACCCTGGATGCTCTCGCGCTTGTTATCGGAGTCTTCTTTATACACATTCTTCGATGGTTCTGGTTTATCTCTCTTACGATGACTCGAAAATATACCCTCGTGATGATTAGGAATATGGCAATCGAGAGTTTTCTTACTGATCCCTTTCAATATCGAATCGGGTTCTCTACTTTTCGGCTTCTTTACAACAACCTTATCATCATCGGCCTGCTTGTTAGGTATTTCATCAAATTTTTTCGTTCCTGAAGTCAATCCACTGATTCTTCTTGTTCTAACCGATTTCCCTTTCGCTAGAACTTTTGCTAAGCTTGTAGGCTTGTCTGAGTCTGAGTGCAAACCATGCATCACTGACTCTTCGTAGCGAGGTGGATCCTCATCTACAATTCCACTTTTACCCTTCAAGTCACCATGAACCAAGCTGTCGATACTATATCCATGACCTTCAATTGGTTGCAACGGAGTTTCACCGTTTCTTCTAGCCGAAGATGACGGTGAACTTGAAGAAGAGGAGGAAGAAGATCCATGCAAACTCTTCTTTTCCCCTAAACCTTCCTGCAGCGAGTTCATATTCTCCGATGAAACTGAATCTAAGGAAGAACGTATACTCGTGTTACTCGTATGAGATGAGAAAGATCCCATAGACTGCAAAGACCGTGAACTACGTGATTCAAGTTGAATTTCATCAACCGATATCGGCCTAAAACGCAAAGGATGAGAAACAGCAGCATATCTCCCTCCAGTTTCCATCGTTTCGTTTCTTGAAGACACCTGCGAAATCATCTTCACCAAATCCGCATCTTGGAAATTCATATCTTCAGAAACAGGCACAAAGGAATTCTTCTTCTGTCCTAAATCTTCCACTCGGAAATCCACATTTTCGGAAGCATTCACATAGGAAGTGTTCTTCTGCTCCACAACTTCTTCTTGGGAATTCATATTTTCTGAAGTATGCAAAGGGAAACTCTCTTTTTGTACCATAATATCTTCCTCTCGGAAGTCTATAGCATCCGAAGAAATCGAATCAATAGAAGAATATATTCCGGTGTTGGGAGAAAACGATCCTGCAGACTTTCCAGTCTGCGAATTATGCGGCTCAAATTGAGTTTCATCAACAGTCATTGTCCTGAAATTTGCAGGATAAACACCATCAGCATGTTTCCCTTTGGTTACCATCCTTCGGTTTCTTAAAGAACGGCCCTCGGAAATCTTCTTTCCCAAATCTCTTCTTTGAACCCTTTGTTCCGTATCTTCCTCTTCGAAAATCATATTTTCCGGAGCAGGTACAACGGATTTCTTCCTCCGTCTCACGTCTTTGTCTTGAAAATTCTTCATTTCTGAAGCATGCACAAACGAAGACTCCTTTCGTGTCATTTCTTCCTCTTCGAAAATCATAATTTCTGGAGCAGGCACAAAGGAAGTCTTCCTCCATCTCACATCGTTGTCTTGAAAATTCTTCATTTCCGAAGCATGCACAAACAAAGACTCCTTTCGTGTCATTTCTTCGTCTTGAAAGTTCACATTATCCGACGCAATCGGATCAAACGAAGAATACATACCGGCATGAGAAAAGAAAGACGCTGTAGACTGTAAAGAGTTCGATCCAAGTCCATCAAATTTAGTCTCGTCAACCGAAATAGAACTAAACTGCGAAGAACCATTAACATTGCCATAAACTTTCTCCCTTTCCATCCTTCCAAACCTCGAATTCCAGTCGATAGGCGAAGCAATTCCACCACCAATAGCAGCATCATTAAATTCTTTCTCCAAATTACCAGGATCCATATCTCCAAATTCCCGATCTTCACTCATATCTAGCCTCTTAGAAGAACGTACCGAACCTGAACTCAAATCATTAGCATTTTCATCGACATATCTTAAACCATCCACTTCTCTTTCAACCAATTTCAAACTTCGAACCGGTAACCCAAGAGGTTTATGACCAACAACCTCACCACATTCACCATTACCATAGTAAGGTTGAGCAACAACAACAGGCTCACTATAATAATACTCAGAACTCCAAGATTGAACCACATTGGTTCCATTTCCATCATCGAATCTAACCGAATAACCGAAATTATCCTCAGAATTAGAGAGTTTTTGAGTATTGTACTGTTCATCAAAAACACCGACAGTACTATTACTATTACCCTCAAAATACTGAGAATTATTCCAATGCATCATCTTATTCTCATCAAACCCACATGAATTATCAATTTCAGACTCATCACCAAAAATATTTGAAGCAGGAAAAAACTTGGAAACATAACTAGGTGTTGTAGAATTATTACTATTACTACTCTCACCACTAGGTTGAGTTTCTAAATTAGTTTCTAATTCAGCATTTCTTCTGCTAAAAAGACCATAAGCAACAACAATGCCAATGAACAGAAGATGAAGAAGCTCCCAAAGCTTGGTGAGTATAGTTTGGTTCAAAAATTCAGGAGCTTGTGAGGGAAAAAGTGGAAGAACAATAGCAAAAATTGCTAAAAATAGAAACTTTATAATGAAATCTGAACAAGAGTTACCTTTTTTGACTGGTTTTGGTTGGATCTGTAAATGGGGTTTTGGGATAGGGATTGGATCCGCCATTGATGAGGTTTCAGAGAAATGGGTGTTGTTGGGATTTGTGAAATGAAAATGAAAATTGAAGAAAAATTGAGACTTTACTTTGGTTGAGGAGGAGGAAAAAAAAGTGTGATAATTTAGGGACAAACATGGAAGAAAAAATGTTTAAGGTAAATGTTTTTGGTTGGTACAACGTGGTAGAATTCAAAAAGTGTCTTTGTCAATTATTACCGTTTATTTTGAATGACGAAGTTGCCCTTGTTGTGGTTTGAGTTTTACTATGTTTGGAATATTATTTGAGAACGGTTTTTGGGTCATTAAAAGACTATGGTGTTACGTTATTTTTTATACTTGAATGAGTTGGGTCATGGAGAAAAGAATCTTTGTATTAATTAACCGTTAAGTAATCAATTGTTTCATGTTGTATGTTCACCAAACTAAGTAATGTCAATTTCTAGTTTTTGAATGATACTCTAAAAGAGATCTAATAAGATCTTTAAACATTTTATTTTCAATGTAAAATTGATACTTAAAAAAGAGAGAAATGTTGGAAAGGAAGCTCATTGAAATTGTATATTGTAATAGTTGTGGCATGTTAATTTTTTAAAAGTGAATGATGTTCAATGTGGTTTTTTACGGTTCGAAGAATTAATATTTACAATTGCGTGCAAAAGATATTATAGCTATATTAAAACATATGTTATATATAAGATGAATGATTGAAAGAGAGATAATGTTTCTTGGTTTTTAAAGATGATGATGGAGTAAAGATTGATGTTGTGGTTGAAGATGAATTTTTTTTATAGAGTACGTGTTTGGTGGATCTTTTGATTTTATTTGGATTTCAATATGAAATTTTTGTTGAGAGTATAATTCAAGTTGTGTAGTCCAAATTAGTTAGGGTTAGAGTTTGTTATTTAGTTACTTAATACTCAAGTTACTTAGTTGTATATAAATAAATATTTTGTAATTTAGTTTTTTTTAAAAATAATATTCACATTCAATCCTTATTCTTCATTCTCTCTTTCTCTCTTCACCAAAAGTGTCTCACGCGATAACAAATTG